CTGCAGGCGGCGCGGTGGCACCGGCAGAGCCCAGGCTGTCTCCGTGCCAGTCGCGGTGGGGAGGGCAGTCAGGTCCCCTGTGCCCCCGTGCCGCGGCTGGTCCCCCCCCGCCACTCCGGCTTTCTCCCCTGTAGAAGGAACCGGGAGGCTGTTCTTCGAATTCTACCACCTGCTCAACTACGCCCGTCCCAAGGCGGGAGAGGAGCGCCCCTTCTTCTGGATGTTCGAGAACATGGTGGCCATGAGGGTCAACGACAAGAGAGACATTTCTCGGTTTCTGGAGGTAGGGATTGCCGCCGGCTGTGGGAAAGGTGGCGGAGGCTGTGGGAAAGGTGGCGGAGCCGGAGGCACTTGCTGGGCTGTGCAAGCTGTGCTGAGGCTGTGAAGGTTTGGCTGTGCTTTTGTATGGCCCCGACACTGGAAAACCCCCTGCCTGATGCACGCACCAGGAACCAACTTTTTAGTCTTGGCTCTGGATCCCCGCTGGCTTTCAGCAGGTTAACCCCCAGCACTAGTTCTCTGGGGGCAGGTTTTTGCCAGCCTTGCTGAAAGCACCTGTTCAGAGCAATGCCTCTTATTTCTAGGGAGAGGGAGGTCAGGGACTGGAAGGGGTCTGGAAGGGGTTTTCAGCTCTGTGGTAGCCAAGATGGGCTGTGGGGCAGCAGGAACCCCTGTGTGTAAAAGCCTCATCGGAGGCTGACGGTCCTGATCCTGGCCCAGAGTAATCGGCACTGAAGCATGCTGTGATTTTCACTAGCTGCTGGCCATGGCTATGGCGTGGGAGCCCACGTGGCCAACCGGACCGTGCTCTGGTGTGAAACAAGGGTTCCTTGGGGCTACAGCCGTAGGAGGGTTTGCTGAAGACTTTTACGTCCCTGCAGTGCAGTGGAGAAGGGCTCCGGTGCAGGAGAGGGCTGAGCCCGCACCTCTGACTTTTACTTTTCCCCTCTTGTGGCCTGCAGTGTAACCCGGTTATGATTGATGCTATCAAGATATCAGCTGCCCACCGAGCACGCTATTTCTGGGGCAACCTTCCAGGGATGAACAGGTAATCGCTCGCTGTAGTTTGGAACCTCTCGCTGTAGTTTTGTTCTGTTTTGTTCTGTTTCGTGGTGCGTGTGCGGTTGTTCTTTCCTCCTTGGCCCTAAGCCCAGCTCCTGGGAGCTGAAGAGCTGCAGCTCCCATCCGGCACAGTTGCCCTGCGGTGCCGTGCACATGACACTGTGATCGTTAACGAGCGCCGATGAGACTGGGAAACGCGTAGCAGCGTCCTCTGCCCCCGGCCCTGAAGCCTGTGGAGGGAGAAGGGAGGGGGCTTGCGCAGGACGCTGCGTGGCGTCTGGCTTGGGGATGCACACGTGCCCCAGCCCTTGTGTAAGAGCCAGGCTGACGCGGGGGTGCTGTGTAGCAGCCCCGTGCCCCGGTCGGTGCCGTGCAGGGGTTTGCCGGAGATGAACCCGAGCAGCCGCCTTGGCCGGGGCTGCTCAGCCCGGTGCAGCGGCGCGGGGAAGCTCGCGCTACGGCCGGCGGCTGCTGCGGCAAAGCGTGGCTGCACCCCTCCAGGCTTCGCTCACACCTCGCGGCACCCCACGTTCATGGCAAAACACAACAGAAGGACTTGGAGTACAGTAAAACCCAATTACTAGCAGTCCTGCACACCAAATACTTCTAGCAACAAAAACTAGAGTTTTCGCACAGCCAAAGCCTCAGCCAGTAAGCACAGACTGGTTTTAAATATTTTTGCTTCTTTATATTTAAATTGCCAGTATTCATTGGAGTTAAACCTAACTAAAGCTGAGCTAGAGGCAGGTAGGTATTTGACAGTGAATTAGCAATTACAGAGCCTGTGTGCTCTCATGCCGTTTAAGTGGCACTCCAGCTTTCCTCTGGTTGTGCGGTGACTCAGAGCTATCTCCGTGAAACAGCCTGGGGCGATGCTTGCAGAGGTGCCTTGCTGAGCAGAGGCAGGCAGGACGGCACCGGCACCCGGCTCCTCCGAAAGCGCTGCCGAGGGCTCTGGGGAGAGTGGGTGGCACTGCGCAGCCCCGGGACGGCAGCGTTTCTGCTCCCTCCGACAGCTGCGCTCCGGTATTTGGCACTTCTGCTCCAGCCTTTGGGGCAGGCAGTCTGCGGAGGGGACGGGTATTTCGGTAGGAAAGCTGTGGTGGCTGTAGGAGAGGCCATCGGTGGGATGAACACTGTATACTTCAGGAAAGCACGGCACGCTTGCTGTGCTTCACCTGACGGGCTACGCGTCAGGGCACTTTGGTAAGACCGTTCGGTGTTCTGGCTATGAGAAATTGGCTCTTAATTTCAGTACGACTCAAAAAACCTGAGGTGACATTGACTGCCCAGGGCTGCTGCTGTCCTGTCACCTTACCAACATCTCTTGTCCATCTTTTGGCTCACCCAGGGGCACCAGCGTTTCAGTGCAGCGTGCACCAGTGCAACTTAGCAGCTTGGTGGACTCCAGAGCCGTAATAGAAAATTTTAGCATCGCTAGTGGTTAATTTTGCCTGCCCTCAGTGTCTGTAAATGCGTTGGTGCTGTGAGCCCCCGGAGCCGGGGCAGCTCGCCGTTGGCTGCCTGCAGGCACGTCTGGGGCGGGAGGCGCGTGCGCACGCTTGCCACGTACAGATGTCCGCAGGCCAGCAGGTGCAGCGCGGGGCTCCTTCATTCCTGCCTTGACTCTGCTGCTTGGGTCGCATCCCGAGTCCCCAGCTGGCTCTGGGCACTTGGCCCCTGTCCGCACGCGGGTCAAGTCGTACAGGGCAGATAAGCTTGCGCAGATAGGCGCGGGACGATTTCTCGGGCGGCCTGTGTCCGCAGGAGCGGGGCGGTGGGAGACGAGGGCTCTCCTGCCGTTGCCTGCTGCTGCCCTGGGACAAGTGCCGCTGGCTCTGGGCAGAGCAGGAGCAACCGCGTCGCCTTTGCCGAATGCTCTCGAGGCTTCAGGTGGAAAGCGATGCGTGTCCGCTGCTGCTCTGGGCAAGAAAATCTGAGAGCTGGCGGGGAGCGCTGGCTGTTAGCAGTGAGAATCTGCCAAGCGAGACTGAAGTGGGCTGGGGCTCAAGGGAGCTGCGGGCTGGACGCGGGGATGGGGCAGAGGGACGCTGTGTCCTGGCCCCCGCCAAGCCTCACCCCCCTCTTCTGCCTCTGCTCCGCAGGATCTTCGGCTTCCCCCTCCACTACACGGACGTCTCCAACATCGGCCGCGGCGCTCGCCAGAAGCTGCTGGGGAGATCGTGGAGCGTCCCCGTCATCCAGCACCTCTTTTCCCCGCTCAAGGATTACTTCGCCTGTGAATAGCAAGCCGAGCGTCCCTCGTCTCTCTGGTAAAGATGCACAGCTCCGCCGCCGTGGCGGGAGAGGGACGGGCACAGCCGCCGGACTCTGCCACGGCACCGTCCCTCCCCGGCCACGTGCTGCGGGAAGGCAGCCTGGCCCCGCAGGGAGAGCTGAGGAAATGTCTTTAACCAAAGAACCTGGCAGGGTAACTTTTCTTTAAAGGGACTAACGGCAGTGATACATAGAAAATGATGGACAAAAGAGCTTTAATTACCCAGTGCAGGAAGCTCTATGCATAACTGATGAAATGAGAAGTCTCCTCCAGAGCATTAAATATTCCGTTTTAGCCTACAGCTGGAAAGTCACAACTTGCTGAGCAGTAAGTGTGGAGGCAGCTGCTGGGGTGCTGCAGACAAACTTGAACTAGAGCGAAGTATTGCTTTTCCTAAACAAACAAAACCTCTTGAAGCAACTGCCAAAAATCCCCAAACCGTAGCAGCAGGTGTAAGGGACCCTGGTCAGGTTACATACACTGAACATGCAGGATAAAGAAACCAAATCTTCTTTATTTTTAAGACTTTTTTGATAAACTTTAATGTTGTTGTTTAACGTCTATTGCTGCTTTAAGGCATTACATAAGAATGTGGAGATTCCTAGACCTGAATGTAGCTGAAACTGAACTGTGAGGTGATAGAATTACTTTTCTAGCTAGAACTAAAGAAATATTGTTTTATATGTTTGGCTGTAGTTTACAAATATTTTCACTACTTCCTTTTTAAAGCATCTAAAACTTTTCCTTACATTTTAAAATCCTGCTGAGTGGTTTGAAAGCTTACACGGTAATCGGAGCACGGAGGGTTTGGGCTCCGGTGTCCATAAAGGAAAGTGTTCTCGGAGCTTTCATTTCCCGATGGATGTGGCGCACCGGCAGGAAGGACAGCGTAGTGCTCAGTGTCGTCTTCGAAATGCAGCCCCCTGAAAGGTCGCGGGCAGTGTCACGAACCCGAGCAGTGGTGGCAGTGCGTAGCTGTGGGGCAGGGGCTTCCTTGCAGGGAAAATCCCACCCGACCCCAGCGGGTCCAGGAGCGCAGCGCTTGGTCACCCCGCGCCAATCCTGCTGCTGCGGCGGGGGGCTGTGGGGGGCGTCCCCCCCCCCTGCAGGCACTGCCGCTGGGGCGGGGGCCCTGTGCCGGGGCAGGGGAGGTCCTGGGGGTCCGCAGGCAGGGGCTGTACCTCTCCTTCCCTGCGCACCCACCTCCCCGTGCCTGACTGAGCAGAGAGGTGGGATGCTGCTGGTGCTTGTTATGTGCCCAGCCCCGGCCCAACAGTGCCCTGGGGGGCTCTCGGGGCCGTACCCCCAAACCGGGAGCTCCTGTGGCTGCTGCCACGCTCACTTTTGATGGCCCTCCTCCACTCCCTAGCTTTGCCGGAGTGATTCTCCCGCTGTCCATGAAGTCCTGGGCACGCGGTTCCTACGGCCAGCGTCCGGGGAGATGCGGGCGTGTGTGCAGCGGAGCCCCTCCGTCTCCCCCAGGTTTTCCATAGCCGCGGGGCTGCTGTCCCGGCCAGCGTCCCCCAGGGACTCTTAACTCCAATGCACATTTCAATGCACTGAAACAGCTCGTGACGTCCCCCCCTCGGTCCCTCTGTCCTCCCCGACCTCTGCTGTTCACTACAAACTGTCGCTGGGTCTGGCACAGCCCTTCGGTGCCTTCTCACGATCGGGCGTGTGCAAACTGTGGTTTTGTGTTGGGCCAGCCCATCACCCCGTGCCAGGCTGTCTCAGGAGGTGGTGTACAGCATCAGTGGGAAACGAGAGCTTCTCTCCCGGCTCCTTCTACCTCTCTGACAGGCGGGGACCCCCTCGCACCCCTCGCGGGCGGTGGAGGACGGCAGCCTCCCTGGAGGAGGGAGCCTCCCCTTTCCCACTCCTGCGTGCAGGTTTCCACCCCGCGCCCATCCCCAGGCTCAGCACCACCTTCTCTCGGTCTCCCGCCCCAGGCCGCGCTCGGGAAGGGGCAGGACGGGAAGCCCAGGTAGTTCCAAGGCTTTTTCCCTTGGTCCTGCGCAGAGGTTGCTCTTTAAAGTCCTCCCACAGGGGTTCGCTCTCAGTGACTTGGTTAAGACAAGGCTGGAGAAAGCCAAGCGGTCTCCTCCGCCTCTCCGCTGGCATCCGCGGCTCTCGGCAGGCGCTGGGGGCCAAGCAGCAGCCTCTCGCCACCTTTGTCACCAGCGCGGTGACAGGGGGGGGGTGGCGGGGGGGGGGCCGGGGGGGCGCGGCGGGCCCCCCCGGGCCGCGGGCTTGCTGCTCCGGGCCCGCCTCTGCGGTCGCACCTTGCTCTGCCCCGGCCGCCAGCAGGCGGGAGAATCCCCAGACCTTCCGTGCCAGAGGGGAGGATGCTGCTTATTTACGCATAGATAATATATTCATATATATGGTGTGTGGCGTTGGGGTGCAGGCGGCGTTCGGGCAGCCTGGCGTCGCCGCCGCCGCGCCGGCTGGTTCTGGACCCCTCACCAACCCCTGATCCTTGTGCCCAGCCGGGACCCGGCTCACAACACTAACCCCAGCCGCGGGCCCCGGGGGCGACGGCCGTCCTCTGCCTTGGGATCCGCGCGCCGTTTTGATTTTTCCAGACGGGGCTAACGCGTAGCCTCCGCTCCGTGGTGTCTGTCGCCAATTGCGTGTTCCAGATCTCACACCCTTTCCTATCTGATCAAAAGAGAAATGCATAGACAAGGAAAAACAAGGACTTGGGGAAGTAAACAAAGATAAAAGAGGAATGAGAATTGTCTCGGCATTAAGCTTACTTGATAAGGATTGTAGTAGACAAGTCTTCCTTGAAATATTTTTTCCCTGTAAGAGCTGCCTTTTATTACAAGTTTATAAAAATGTTGTAGGGAGAGGTAGATTTCAGAAACGCCTTTTGAATACTTTTTAAAGGTTTCTAACTCTCCCTGGTGCTATTTTTTTAGGTTAAGGATTTTTGATGTCGAAAGTCTTGCGGGTTTTTATACAATCTTTTAAAAATAAAAGAAGCGTATTGTTTTGTTGAACACATTTCGTATGCTTTTTGTACCGGGAGTGCGAGAACTCAAAGCTGTGCCTTGCCCACGCGGTTTTACTGACTTTCGTGTGGGGAAAAAGGGGATCCGTGTCAACAGTTTACCATTCATCGCCGTCTAATTAAAAATCAGTATTTCTGTATGACCGGACAGTCCTTATTTGATAAATTCATCGTGTGAGAAAGAAGGGGGTTACAGAGGGACGGGATTCACCGGAGCTGAGCCGGGCTGCGCCCTCCGCCGCCGCGGCTTGAGGCGACCCGGGGGAACTGGACGGGTGACGCCAAGGCAGCGGGGCCCGGGCTGTGGCGGGGGGGCGGGGCCG